CGCATCTTTAAAAAAAAAAAAAAAAAAAAAAAAAAAGAGAATTGTATGACCATTGTCTTCGAAAAAGAAAAACTCCTCTTTAGATAAAAGAATGAGAGAATACAAGAAAAAACTATAAAAAAGAAAAAGAAAAAGAAAAAAGTATACAAACTTATTTATCATCATTCGACCCCTCATATTTATGTCTATGACAACATCTTAATAGAGTGTTATTATCTCAAATTGCATTATAATTTTCTAAAGAAACTTGAAAAACTTTTTTCGACCTTTATTATTTATTGTGGTAATATCTCTTCTATATGTTGAATGATTATTCTCATAAAAGAAAATTTTATATTTAATGACTTTGCATTCAAATATTATAAGAATAAACAAATTTCTAACTATAATATTTTCAAAATAAACAACACCCTAATGATCTTTTTACATTTAGAACATTTGAGATTTAAATTTGAAATTTTGAGCTATTATTATAACACGTTGTATACCAAAAATGAAAAATACTAAGATCCAATTTTAATGAAATTAACAAATGAATTCTTTTATTTTTAACCACAACATAATTATGAAATATTTATCACCAGATGTCGGGAATAATATTGATCAAAAACCCTATATACACATAAGATGAGTACTCTCTTCTCAACATAATGTTGTCCATGGATAATGAGAACATGAAAATGCATTATCTTAAAGACTTATCTGCAGATTCCCACTCAAGTCTCAAGATACAGAACTAGCAAGTTATTAACCTAGAAAAGTAAGAATAGAGAAGAGAATAATATTTCATCCTATGACTGTTACTAAATCTCAATATTTATAAAAGAGGATATTCACCGTTGTGACTATAATAATCATGATAATTAAAATCAATTAATTTTGAAATGTTTAATCATTAAAATTAATTAGAACTAAAATGATAAAGTTATTATATCTCATTAAAACTAATATTAAATAAGTTTTAATACCATTAATTAATAAAATAATTATTTTAACTTTAAATTTAAAATAATTTCATGAGTTAATTAACCTTTTAAAATATTTCAAAATATACAACACAAAATCAATTCCATTTAACAATATGAATGATATTAGAAGAGTTATTTCTTTAAACTATCCGTAATGACCAAATGACCATGTAATCAAAATTTCAAGTTGAAATCTAAAATCATTCGATAAAATAACTATTAGGGACCTTAGTAGATAAGAGGAATGGATTGGGAGTAAAAACATGAAGAACCGGGTTCAATCTTTATTGTGTTCTTTATATATAAAAAATGACTTAAAATTTACTTTTGGTCTCTCAAATTTAAAAATTATTATTTTTAATCTATGTAATTTTTAAAAATATTATTTTAATTTTTTAAGTCATTAATAATATATTTGAAAGTGACATATTAAAACAATTATGTAGTATCAACTAAATTTAATGTGATAATTTCATTAACAAGGATACAAATAAATAAATTTTATGTGATAATATTTGACAATTTTTACAATAAAACTTAAATATAAGGAATAAAATAATATTTTATATATGAAATGATAAAGACTAAAAGATTAATTTTAAATTTGAAAAATTAAAAATAAATTTATTTTAAATTTGAAGAATTAAAACATATTTAAACCTTAAAAAAATCATATGATAAAATAAACTACGAAGCAACAAATTTATGAGCCAGATAAGTAAATGTTCATAGTCACAGACGCATTGAATATTGATTGAAGCTCTGTTTTTCTTAACATCTTATGTGACAACTTGGGCTATGTATAATAGCTAGTTGAACGGCCCAAATATCTCTTGTTAACAGAAGTAACCCAACTTAATCAAAGCCCCGCTTCAGTGTATCAGTCTCAAAAAAAAAAAAAAAATAGTACAAGAACAAAATATGTAATATTTACAGCAGAAAATAAAGACATGAGATTTTGCAGGAGCAATCAACTGTTAGTGAGAACTGAGAAATGTACTACAAGTCAGTGCTGGATCCCCCATCACGAGCAGCTCCAAAACAACTCAAGTAGCTAAGTTGCACTATCAATTTTACCATCATGAACAGACATTACAATCATAATATAATTTGGACCTTACCATATAAACAAATTATTGTATATAAAAAGGAGTTTTTTTGTTTCTGCAGCTCAAATGAGACAGCTTTTTTGTCTCCTCTAATTTTAGAGAAATAGGTTTTAAATAAGTATATATAAGTTTAACAAAAGTAACTAATTAAATTAAGGGATAAAATTTCTGCAATATAATTTTCTAAATACTCCTGCTTATTAAATAAAAAATTGAATCTACTCATGTCTAAGATATTAAATGTTTGATTATGTGAATAAATAATTGATATTTAAAAAATGGTTAAAATGAATGGTTGGAATAGGGTTGTGGAATGATGGTGAGGTTACATAGTTACGAGGAGTGTAGGGGTATGTAGTGAGCCAAGCAAACAAGGCAAGCCTTTTTCTATGTACGTGAGGGATCACTCTACAATATAGGTTATTAATGCATTGCACGCATTAGCCTTTTATACTCATTCCCTTCGGGCCAACATTAACCCAACCACATGCCCTGCTTCCCCCAACAAAACAACATTATCTCAATTACTACTATAATGTACATGCAATGCAAATTCTTTCAATGTTTCCGTACAAATCCATGTTCCGCTGCATTCTTGTTTCATGCCAAGGTCATTTCGATAAGTTTTTGGGGGAAAAGGACAACTTCTTTTAGTCTTGTTTTTTCATTGCTTTAGATCTTAATATGTGGAGTTGTGTTTTTGTTGTTTAATGTATATACTTTCCGATGGACTTTTATTTGTCCTTTATCTTTTTTTTTTTTTAAATAATAATATGCATTTCTTATATATGGTTAAGGAAATTAAATATATAAAATAGTTATAAACATTTAATATGTATCAAAATACACAAAATATTTAGATGTGTGGGAAAAAATAATTAAATTAGAACGATTTAACTTAGATCAATTAATAGATTATAAATAACTTTATATAAAATTAGTGGTTAAAGACATTTTGTGTGTAACATTATAAGTTTTCTTAAATTATTATGTTTTATCAACAATTATATAATTATATATGTACTACTGTGTTATGGTTGTGAATTTAGGGAATTAAGAAACTCTCGAAGAATTGTTAAGATATATACAAGATTTTTGTGGATAAATATTCAGTTTGATCATAATAAATACATGACTGTCATGTAACAACATATGTGACTTGAATGTCATATGATAACTGCTTAATAAGTATTATATGTGTTATTTTAAGAATATTTTCAATTTTTATAAGATTATCAAATATTTTTGGGCTTAGCCCAATGTAAAACCAACTTTTTTTTTATCAAATATGACTTTGATACTTAATAATTTTGAGGATTTTAGTCCATATTCTATCTATTTTTTATTATAAGTAAAAAATATATTTTTTAAAATATAAGAATTTAATTATTTTAGTCTCATTTAAAGATATTCTAGTTAAAATATTTATTTTTTAATGCACAATTTTTTTTTGAGTTGTACTACTTTTGACATTTATAATAAAGATATTTTAAAAAAATTATAAGATTAATAAAATGTAATATAAATAGTTAATTTTTTAATAAGTATATTTTTTTCTTATAATAAATAAAAGATTGAGTATTTTGTAAAGCCAATGGTTTAGATTTTTGTATTTCTTAAATACAACAAAAGTAGTTGCTATAACTAACATTGTTCGGATGTTTTAGCCTGATAATGCATGGCA